CTGGCCCACACTTAAGTGGAAGCTATTACACAAGGGTTGAATACTAGGAGACAGGGACCACTGGGGGCCATTGTAGAGGCTGCCCAATATATTCTAGATACATCCTTTGTCATGAACTTCACCTATGGCTGTTTTCCTGGTAGTACCCTGGATTTGATCTTTGTCCCTAGACCATTTCTTTTTTTTTTTTTTTTTGAGACAGAGTCTCACTTTGTTGCCCAAGCTAGAGTGAGTGCCGTGGCGTCAGTCTAGCTCACAGCAACCTCCAACGTCTGGGCTCAAGGAATCCTCCTGCCTCAGCCTCCCAAGTAGCTGGGACTACAGGCATGCACCACCATGCCCGGCTAATTTTTGTCTATATATATTAGTTGGCCAATTAATTTATTTTTATTTATAGTAGAGACGGGGTCTCGCTCTTGCTCAGGCTGGTTTCGAACTCCTGACCTGGAGCAATCCACCTGCTTTGGCCTCCCAGAGTGCTAGGATTACAGGCGTGAGCCACCGCCCGGCCCCTAGACCATTTCTTATGTTAAGTCCTCTAGAGTAGCTAGGAATGAAAAATAGTTTTATTAATATTTCAAATCCAGCAAGTCCTGGGTTATATATGTTTCTTCTAAATTCTGATGGAAAACGGAATAGTTCCTTTTTTAGTGCACTTCACTTCTTTTGTACTATATCATATGCATGAAAAAGAAACCATCCAACCCTTTCGATGTTCTATCCAGAAATCTCCAGAGCCATATCCACATGGTAAGTAGGTAGGTACCTTCTCTAGCTTTCATTTATCTGCAGACTAGTTTGGCTAATTGTTCTTCCAATACCTAAATAAGACCCCCTTGTCTCCAGCTTGCAATAACAATATTCTCACTGTCCTTACCTAATAGTGTTCTTCAATAACAGACTCCGCAAGGTTCTTCGAGCTTCTATCTTCCATCTGACCCCAAAGCCACTGCTATGGGTTTCAGATTTCCATTGCTACTTCTAGGCATGCAGTCACATTTCAGTTAGGCTTTGCTGGATAATGAACCACCTTAAAACCTAGCAGCTTATAACAACAGCATTCACTTTTTGCTAACAACTTTTGCAATCTGGGCAGGGGTTTGTGGAAGAAAAGCTCATACCTCGTCTACATGGTACCAGCTGGGGCAGCTCAGCCAGGGCTGAGCTGAATGAACAGCCACTCCCAAGATAGCCCACTCCCAAGGCTGGTCAATTGGTACTGAACTCAGCAGGGCTGTAAGCCAGGGACCTGGACGTGGCCAGTTGGGTTTCCTCAACTGATTGGAGGGAAGTGAGTGGATCACAGAACTCTTTGGGAGGTAAAAATCAGGGGCTGTTGCACAACCATGTGCATATACGTACCACTACTGAACTATATTCTTATACATGATTAAGATGGCAAATGTTATGTGTCTTTTGCCACAATTATAACTAAATAAGAAAGATCAGGGGGAGATGGTGATTCACCTGGTGTGGGTAGGGGAGGGGTAGAATGAGGGGGAGGGAGGTTTGTCAAGGATGACAAAAACCAATAAAACACAGTCTCTGGCCCAGCACAAGAGTTAACAGGCAATCAGAACACGTGGTAGGCGCTACAGCTTTCTGCTGAGGCGCTAACATAGCTACAAAGCCCATGCCATGAAAATAGCCTCAAAATAGACCTTTAATGTTTGTAATTCCCAGAGACAGACATTTAAGACATAATTATGGGTTTGGATTTCTTAAAGCAAGCCTCAAAATGAACACTTCCAGAGAAACAGAGATGAGTAATAAAAACTACAGGTGTATACAATATTTCCCTTTCAACCTAAACTTGCAGACTAGATAGCAGTGTGGTAGGGTGGTGGGCCCGGGAGAGAGCAGATGTTTTTTGGTCATTAGCCCAATTTTTCCAGGACACAAAATCCCTTTGTTATCTTATATCCTCAGTATGCCCGGAAACTATTGCTACTGGTGGCAGCTCACTTTTGAAACTTCCTTTCTTGGAAGCAGTAAATAAGTCATAAAGATCATTTATATCTTTATTGAATACATTTGCCTGCTCCTCACAAACTCAGACCTTTTTCCCTCAATCACAAAGTTTTATAAATAGTGAAAGTCTGTTTAGAGATTTTCCTTGGGTCTTCTTGGTAATTAAATATTATTCCATTGTTCTTCCAAATAAATCTAAACCATTTTTCACAGAAAGGACAGAAAACAGGAATCCTTATTTCCCTGACATCTTATCCCATCCCCATATGCTTTTCTAAAAATGTCATCCTCACCAGCTATCCCTGCTTTATTGGTAACTTTATTGCCCAATGTGTAAGATAAAGGTGTAATTTTTATCTTTTATTTCTTGAAATCTTATCAGTTGTCCCATTCTGCACCAGGTCTCTATCTAGCTTCTCCTCCCTGCAAAATAATGGGTAAAGGCCACTGCTAAGACCCTGCCTAGTACCCTTTTGGTGGCTCTCCATTCTAAGATGCCACCACTAATTCAGTCCTTCCTGCAGGATCTTGGAAGGATCCAATAATGTCATTCGAATCTGAGAATCAATAACTGATAAGACTTGATGTGCTCATTTGTTAAGAAATAATTGAGTGCCTACTATGTGTCAGGCACTGTCTAGATCAGGGGTCCTCAAACTATGGCCTGCGGGCCACGTGCGGCCACCCGAGGACATTTATCCAGCCCGGTGGGTGATTTTGCCACCGCTGCCTGTCCTGCTTAGCAGACTTGTCCAGGGCCCACAGTGCGCATGTGTGGAATGTATCCTGCACTCTCCAATGGTCTGAGGGACAGTGAACTGGCCCCCTGTTTAAAAAGTTTGAGGACCCCTGGTAGATGTTGGGAACACAAGCATGAACAAGCCAGGCAAGGATCCTCTCATGGAACTTATTTTTGTTTCTTATCCCAGAGGTTTCTGACTTTTAACAATGGACAAAGTCCTGGCTTGGCTTAAAGACAAAGGAATCAGGTTCTATGTTTGGAATCAAGCCACATTTCCTTGGGTGGGGGTAGGGGAGGTTCTCCCAGCATCCTGAACTCACACAACATATTCCACTTACTCCTAAGTGGAGTCTGACATCAAGGACTAGATTAATTGTCATTTTTCTTGGGCCTTTGCCAGTCTCCAACAAGACAGTGCCTTTCTGTGGAGTACCTTGGGTCACAGGCAAGAATGGCTGAGGACAAAGTGTTAGTATCCATCGGCCAGCGTGGGGTCCCAAGACCACCTCTCAGCTATTGCTCAGGAAGACATTGCCCTCTCGTGGTTCCTCTTATAACTGAGGGAGGAGCTGGCAGTGGAAAGGGCTGCCAATGGATAATCAACACTCTGTGGAAGTTTCCAGATCAATTGTAGCCTTGACTCTTCTAGACGTCTTCAGTTGCAGACTCTTGGTTTATTTTCACCCAGGATACACTTTTGTCTCTATAGAGAGAAATGACATTATGACAGCAATTAAAGAAACACATTTTTCTCCTCCTCACAGAAATCCTTTTCTTTTTCAAAAATCTCCAGACTCCCAAGAAAAGCCCAATACGTAAATCCAAGTATCACTAGTGTTTTTCTCTACATAATGCCCTTAAAGCAAATATTTGCTCTGTTATTTGACCGGGGATACTGTGATTACGTTGCTGTGAAGTTGTTTTGGGGTTATCTTGGCTCCACGCATTCCCTAAAGGCAGGGGCTTTATCTTCCACTCCCACAGCCACCCCCCAACCCGTCCCCAGCAGCGCGTAAAGAATGTCGGGTGGGGGAGGGGAGATAAACAGTGAGCAGAGTCTGCAGTGAGGAGTTGTGATTGGGGACATGCAGGACAGACACAGCACTGAGAGACAGGAGTCTTGGGATTGAGGGGGTGGAGCGGAACCTACAGAGACATGGAGTTGTCGATTTAGAAGTTTGTAGACGTCAAGTTTAAGAGCTTCAGTGAGCCAATGGTGGAAAAAAACTCTCGGGGCCCAGGAAAAATGGAAATTTCCATGAGAAGAATGGGAGCTTCCACGTATTGTCAATCTAAACTAAGCAAGAATGGGTGCCCGGTGCTGTAGCTCTAGCAACCTGTAAAGTCTTAAACCCTGGCAGATACAACTACTCCCATTTCAAAGAGAAGGAAACAAGCCATGCAATCCTCGGACGTAGCTGCCAAATGCCCAGGTCCCCTTTCTTGCTGAAGATCATCGGGACAGACCTCCAGTTCTGCTAGCAGTGAGGAACAGTCACTTAGCCAACCAGTATTTATTGAGCGCCTACTGTATACCAGGTAGACCCTTTAAATAGCCGTGGGATTAAAAAGATACACAGTCTTGTTTTCCAGGAAGGAGCTCCCTGAGGACTGGGGAGCCGGCTAGGTAAACAGTTCCAGAAAGGTCTGGTGAGAGAGGAGCCTGCGAGGCGTCGCAGGGCCGGCCTTTGAGATAGGGTTGACGCCGTGTCCCGAAAAAGCAGGGCCGGAGGTGGCTGTGCAGGGTGTCACTCGAGGTCTCTCCTCCTGTCACTTGAAGCCGGCGACTCCGAGGGGAGGACTCAGGGTCTCCGCCGGTACTTTGGAGGAGGCTAGGCTTGGGGACAATGGGTGCTGATCCCTCGTGCAAAGCGGGCAAACAAAAGTAGCACACGCCAGTTCCCGGTCCCCGCACCGGCAGGGCCTGGGCCCCGGACCCCTCGCCCGGCTCGCGCGCGCGCACAAGCGAGGTGGCCAGCTCGGGTCCCGCTCGGACGCCGGACGCCGGGCCGGGACCGCGCTCCCTCCGCCGCCGCGCCGGCCGCGACCTCCCGCCGAGCCGGGCCGGGGTCGCCAGCTTCCGCCCGCGCCCGCCCCTCCCCGGCGCGCGCCATCCGGCCGCCCGGCCCCTCCTCCCGCGGGGCTCCGCCGGCCCGTCCCGTCCCCGCGGGCGGCAGCGGGAGCGCACGTCCAGGGCGGGCGGAGGGCGGGGGAGCGGGCGGGGGAGGGCGGAGGGAGAGAAAGGGAGCTGCGAGGATCCCGCACTCGCAGAGCCTGCCTGGAGCGCGCACTCCGCGGCTCTCCGGGTGCCAGCGTCCCAGCCGCGGCCCGCGCGCTGCCCCGCGCCGCCTCCTCCTCCTCCTCTCCGGGCACCCCTCGTCCCCGCTTTCCTCGGCTGCCCGGCCCGGCCCGCGGCAGCCCCCAGCCCCAACTCGGTCACATCCCCAACTCTCCGGGCTCCCTCCTGGGACGCGCGTCCTCGCCCCATCCTTTCTTCCTTCCTTCCTCCCCGCTCCGGCGCCCGCCCGCCCTCTCCAGGTCTGCCTCCCGGGGCCCGGTCGTCCCCGTCCCCGCTCGCTCGGCCCGCGCCCTGCCCCGTCCCCCGCTCGCACTTCCTGAGTCGCCCGGCCGCCGCGTCCCCGCTCCGGCCCCCGCAGCCCGCGGCGCCCGCCCGCCCGGGGGAGCCCCGGCGCCCGCGGAAGGCAGAAGTGGGCGAGCGCGCCCTCGCCAGCCCCGCGCCCCAGCCCTGCCCCGCGAGCGAGGACCGGGAAGATGAACAACGGCGGCAAAGCCGAGAAGGAGAACAGCGCGAGCGAGGCCAACCTTCAGGAGGAAGAGGTACCGGGCGGCGCGGCGCGGTGGCGGGCGCGGCCGGGGACGGGAGCCGCGGGCTTTCTGCAGAGTGCGGGCGCGGGGCCCGGGGAGTGGGGCGCCGCGGCCGCAGGTTTGGGGACTGCCCTTGCTCGGGACGCTGCCCCGGGACGCGGCCGCGATGGGGTGTACCCGGGCGGCGTGCGCGCGTGTGTGGCGTCCACGCGCGTCTGTGTGCCCCAAACCGCGTAACGCCGAGGACTTCCCGGAGACTCCGTGTAAGTAGCGCGCTCAGCTTTGTCTGCCCGGGCTTTAAAAAGTGGAGCCGAGAGTTGACTCCTGGGTGACCTCAGGTCATTGCTGGGACCCGGACCGTCTGGACTTAGTTCTGGGTGGTTCTGGGTTTGGGAAGCTGGGAGTTGTGTGTGCGTGCAGGCGGTGGGGGTGCGGGGAGAAATTGGGGGGAAAGTTCTCGCGGAGAGGTGCCCGTGTCCCCTGCCCCCCTTCCTTTCAGAGTTAAAAGTTCTTGGGGAAATATCTCCCTAGCTCAGGCGTTTTGGATTAATAGATAACTCATCAGCCGCATTCTTCTCTGATGAGTCAAAGACCCCGAACCTGGGCGATTAACTTTAGTTAAGTTTAGGGGCCACGCAGACGCGGGAGCGGAATAAAAGGGCTAAAAACCTAACAATTCGCCCAGTGCTCATCGAGGATGTTTTAATAGGACTTTGACTTCTGAGTGTAAATTTTACACGATGTCTGTGCAGTTGCGGAGCGTTCCTTTGGTGCAAACAAAATTTAGTAAATGTGGGGAAAGTGGAGGGACTTAGGAACGAACGTCCCCAAATTTTGTAATTAGAATATTGGTAGTATCCCAGCAAATCACTCTGATCCTGCAGCAGGTACGTTCTCTGGAGTCCAAGAAACCATCTTTCCTTTACTTTTTTAAAGATCCCGCGTTAGTTGAGTTCTTAAACATTGTACGAGGAACTTTAGAGTGTGTGTAGGTGCAGGAAAGTATACGTCTCCATATATGCCCTGAAAGGGATTTTTACAGGTATTGCATTCTGTTGCAGAAGGTGAACACGGAAGGTAAACAGATTGATCTGCCAGAGGTTAGGATGTTGAGATTATTGTTCAGATACTGTGTTGTGTGCAAACTCAAATTCTCATAGTGAAACCAAACATTGCAGGAGGAATGCATTAATACATAAGTCCTCTGCACATTGTTCACTCGTAAACTGGGAACTATTTAAATGGGGAAGATAGAAGAGAAACCTAAGCCCACATAAACAATGCAAATTTTTTTTTTTTTTTACTCTCAACACAGTGGTGGTTGGTAGTGCAAACCTAGGTGAATTGCATTAAGCTGAAAATTGCCTTCTCAGCTGAGGAAATTGCCTGTTTAATAAGGAGGCATTATTTTGAAAAGTGTTATTTACATGCTTGTTGTTTTATAACTATAAATGTAGGGATACTACTGATAGTTTTTTTTTTTTTTAAGAGATGGAGGTTTGACTTGCAAGTTACACTTTTTCCTTGAACTTCAATTGGCTACTTTGCTATTGAAGTTATTTTTCCTTATCACTTAAAATTTTTTAAAGGATAAGTTTGCCTTTTTTATTGCTATATTTAACCAATCCACTTAACGCATTAAGGTAATCATTGCTTCAGAAACGTTCTATTTTGGTTAGATAGGCAATCTGTTTACTTGCTAAGGGTAAGAATGTATGGTGTGAAACAGTCCTCTGCTCACCCAGTTGAGAAAAATTGTAGCTGGGAAAAAGTTAATCGGGCAAAGCAAAGGTGGTGGTGATTTTTTTTTTTGCTTTTGGTAGGTTGCAAAAAGAGGTTGATTATCTTAATTAAGTAAAAAAGAATCACCTTTTTCTGCTTGAGCCATCTCAGCTGAACTGCCACCAGGACTGAGGTATTGCCTGCCTTGTTCTTGGGTCCCCCTCCGTTAATATGAGGTTGTGTATGATAATTATGCTGTCATCATGGGTCATTACAGTACAGTCACTGCCTCTCACTTGTCCTGTTGCCCTGACTGTGTTCCTTTTCAGGTAGAAATGGTATGTGGCTCCCAGAGTTTGTCACTATTTTTAGCAAAACATTTGTTATTTAAAAAATAAGGGGACGGGTAGGAAGAGTTCAGAGCCAAAGTTGTCCAAGAGGTGGAGTGTACCATGAAGAGAGAGGATTGATAATGTTAGAAATTCAGGAAAAGAAAAGTGAGTTGGTTTGAAAGAAAGCTGCAGGTAATTTTGCCCTAATTCCCTGTTTTGGGTTTATGTTTTGTCTTTGGAAAACCCTTAACCTCTTTTTTTTTTTTCCTCTAACCTTGAAAGCCACAAGTAAAATAAATAGGATATTTGGTGGGTCCCATTAATGTGCTCTACATTAGGCAAAACCACTGCACTGGACTATTTCCCTGGCCACCCAGGGGACCAGCAACTTGTTCTTGAACACATTTAAAAAGCGTTGGCAGTGGACTCCAGTAAACAGAACACACACATATAACATACATATACACATAATGACAAGAGAGGAAGAATGTGCTTTGTTGTGATTTCTGGTGGCCACTGAACCGATGTGGAAAAATGAGTCCAATCATCATTAACAGAAAATAGTTTATTTCATTTCAAAGATCTGAAGTGGTCTGGGCTTTCTCTACCATGTTATAGAATCCGTGGGTTTTTTTCCTTCCTATTTTTTGAAATGAGTCCTTTTTATCCTTCAGTATATTGTAACTCCATTTCAGAGTTTCCAGTGCTAACCCTGAAATAATGATGCTGAAATTGTTATTTAGTTCCGGTTGCATAGAATGAACAGTCCAGGATTTGGGAAATTTTTTTTGCGGCTTATTTTAGGTTTAAAGTTTTTGAGAACTTGGGAAGACTGTGTACTTTTGCTTTGGATAGTATTTAAAACTTTGAGGAACAATAATTTTAGGATTTGGCTAGCCAGCTGCGTAAGAGAGACAATACATCTGGCTTTTTGGTTTCTAGTGTGTTAGACGTGTTTTCCTATGCAAGTTGTCCCTGTAAAGAAAAAAAAAAAACAGTTGTCAAAATCTTAACAGGGATCTGAGGTTTATAAGGTTTATTTGCATATATGTAATATAGTATCAGATCCGTTTCTTATGTCACTTTACAATTAATAAAATAATTTGTAGAATTTGTGTCTAATTTTACAATCAGACTTTGTTAAAATTAACAAATATATCAGTAATAGACCCATAATTTATCTAATCAGTTGTCATTCGTAAGTTTTAATATATTTAAATATATCAAGATTTTTTTCCATCTTGTACTTAGAAATAATTTGTTGGTCACTGAATTTTCAAAATAGAAATTTGTTTCTTGGAAATCAGATGAATATGTAATTTGGTTTTATTTTTACTTTAATTTTTATCCCAAGTGATTTACAAATCATTTCTAAAAGGCTTTTTTTACTGTGTTGAAGCACTGGTGTGAAGTAATTTCTCCTTAAATTGCTTTGACCGAACTGACTTATATTTAAAACTAAAAAAGCAAAATACTTGGCACTGTTGGAATATTGATCGAAAAGATGTTTGGCAGATGTTGGGCAGAAATCATATAAAGTCAGTTGTTCAGAGGTTACTACAAGTCTTTGCATTCATTCTTTTGAAGTGCTTAGTAATTTTGCCAACATCTTGGGGTCGTGAAGAAAATTGTTTTCTTATAATTGGCACATAGAAAGGGTAAATGTCAGTTTGATGTGGCAACCTCAGGTTGTCATTGAGCATTAAGATTGATCTGCATTATGACTTTGGGAAGGCACAAAATGCTTTTACACAATTTAACGGAGTTTGGAGTCTCTGTTGTTCCAAATCAAATCTAATACAAGAAACTTACATTTCAATCATAGAGTAGGATTTGATGGCAGTGATTTGGATGAGAATCTAGTGACCTCGTACTAAAATGGTGCTGTTTGAAACACTACAAATACGACACTTTTGAGTTATTTTTCCAGTAGTGGTTTTAAAGTTTCCCTGGCAAACCGTTAGGTACATACATATGTCATTATCTTTGTTTTCAGGGGCATTTGTTTCTTGGATGGATAGTTTGGATGGGGTAGAGGTTCTTTTTTTGGAGATGCTTTTACATAACTCTTGTAGGTTCATATTAATTTTTGCTTGGGGGATGCCAGTGTTCAGTGCCGTCGATGTGACAGTGAGGGGGGTGCTCTTGTGCACTACAGAGGTGACATAAATCAGTGCAGCTTTTCAGAAGGACTTTGGCACTATGTATCAATGTGTTCAAGCCCTTTGATTTAGCACTTTTATTTTTAGATTATTTACCATAAGGAAATATAGGGTATAATAAAGATTTATTTATAGGAATGGTTATTAGAGTTACTTACGATAGTGAAAATTCACAAGGTGTCTTATGTCTGACATAAGAAATTGCTAGGTGAATCATTGTATAATTCCAGAAAGGGGTATGTGCAGCCATTAAAGGCTATATTTGTAAAGAGGAAAAAAAAATACATGTTTAAAATATATAAGTATACATTTTATATATCATATGAAGTATACATTTTGTATATCATGTAAATATATTTTTATTTTATTTATATATTTATTCTTTTGAGACAGGGTCTTGCTCTCTTGCCCAGGCTGGAGTGCAGTGGCACAATCGTAGCTCACCGTCACCCCAGATTCCTAGGCTCAAGCAATCCTCCAGCCTCAGCCTCCCAAGTAGCTATGACTAAAGGCACATGCCACTACACCCAGCTAATTTTTAAATTTTTTTTGTAGAGGTGGGGTCTCATTGTATTTCCCCGGGCTGGTCTCAAACTCCTGGGCTCAAGCCATCCTCCCACTTTGGCCTTCCAAAGTGCTGGGATTATAGGGGTGAGCCACCACGCCCCCAGCCTATTTTATATATACTTCACTCATTCATATATACACACATATATGTATATATTTGTTGGCTTAAAACAACAGAAATTCATTCTCTCACGGTTCTGGAGGTCAGAAACCTGAAATCAAGGTTTCA